CCCCCCGTCGTTCCTCCCGGCCGTCGCTTACCCATAGCCGACGCGCGGCCTCGGCGCGCCAAGTTCGCCGCGTACAGCCGCCAGCTACCGCTCGCCTCCTCACAGTCCGTCACCGTCGCTCGTCGTGCGAGCACACGCGGACGTTTCCGCAGTCAGACTGCACGCGCTGCGTGTGTTTTTGTCGTCGTATCGTTGACACCCTGACGGATTGAGATCAGCCCCTGGGTGCTGGTAGTAGTATGCACGAGGGTGAATTCCCACGTTGCACTTCCGATCCATCACTCGTTAATTTCCGCGGTTCAGGAAATTAAAGAAAAAAAATTCGATTTTTTTTTTCGTATTGCAGAAAGGACCTTTTTTTTCGAGGAAGATCGAGTGATTCGCGACTCGATTGCGATCTCGACTTTTGACAAAAAGGCGCTGTTTTCAGTGTCAAAGATTCAGTGAAAGCGGGACGTTACTCGTCTATCGCGTGAGAAACTTGTGAACGAGTGCACGTCGATTGTTTATCGACTATTAACTGTACTGTGGGACAGTTGTTGAAAGAGGTGAGAAGTTTGACGAGAATCAGCAGGAGCGAACGTGCTACGACAGCCGTTTCGCCCCGTGAGTGACAAGTGGTCGGCGACGCGTGGTTAACCACGTGGCGCGGTGTATGCGCCGGTGTACAACAGTCGCTCGGGTGGCGCGTGAACTTTCGCGGGACTCTCTTTCCTTTCCGAACGAACGCGCGCGTGTGTATGTGTGTGCTAAACTATCACGCGTGCACACGACGACAGGCAAGTGACAGGTAGTAGTCGTCGGTCGTTGGTCTACGCGAGCGAATGGAACGCTTTGCGGCTTACATCAAACGTTTTCGCTCTTTAGCCTGAGAAAGTTAACGATCGACCTTCGCCCATCGGTCTCTCTTTCTCGAAACGGTCGAGAGCATGGTGCAACAGTGATTAGTCCGTCGTATATCATCGTCGGTGGCCAACACAGCAGTTGTAAAGGGAAGAGCGCGGGGTCCAGTGGTGGGTAGTCTGGTCTCGCCGTCGCAGGCCGCCGCGAGATGCTGAGAGCCTCAGCCGTCCAGTCCAGCCAATCACGTAGGGTGCTGCGATCTGTGCCGAGGGCCGTCGCGGCCTGCTAAGATGACCGCGCGTTTACACTCGCTGAGGCACCAGGAGAAGAAATCAGCCGGCAACAGCCACAGGCAGCACCACCAGCATCAGCAGGCCGTGCATCAGGGTCCGAGCCCGGCACCGAGCCCCAGCCCCAGCCTCAGCCCGAGCCCGAAACATTCGGACGGTCGAAGAGTGAGTACAAGCAGCACGTATTTCAAACTTCATCAGTTTCAATCTTTCACTCGGAAACCGAAGAATGAAGTTTTTTTTTTTTCATAACTCTCCGGAGTTTGACACCAATCTGTAACTCGATTACTGATGTTTGTAAGACCATTTAATAATTTGTGTTAACCAATAGGCGTTATTTAATTTAAAAAAATAAAAAAGATCTTTTACTTAATCTCAGAAATACTAAATATATTTTAATAAAGGTAATCCAAATTTGTAACATAAAGTTGAATTTTTTGACAAAGAGATTTACAGCGAGTGGGTTCAATAATACATCGTCAACTTCGGAGAGTTAAGAGAGGATATCGGTTTTTATGCAGTTTTATGCGAGGTATCAGCGGTACATTAACGTTCCTAAAATATTAATCAAGGGAAATGTACGACGTGCGAGAGTGAAGTTTAAAAATTGCAGCGCAAGCGCGAACATACGGATTTAATTCGAGATTTTAAGAATGAAAGGAAAAAGGTACTTAGATATGACTCGACCGTGTGGGAATGCGATATCCTCATCCCTTGCAGTGCACTCCGATTATGCGTGTCAAAACGCAACTCACTCTACCTCCCAATTTACCTTCTGCGCACTTAATCTGCGATTGTAAGTCCAGTGGCGCGAACCCGATACTGGACACGTGCGTCGTTTACACAACGCTCGCCACCCAATCTCTACGTGAGAATTCGCTGATTTGACAGATGAACCTTCAAGTATATGGAAAACGTGACAGTATGATACCTGTGTAAACTACAATCTACAATGAGATTTCAAACTTTGAGCTTTAATTCGTAAGAAACCATTCACAGAAATGCGAGGGGAATAATCGATTATGATTTGTTAATTTCTAAGCTCAAGTTTTATGCTTTAAAATCTCATTATAGGCACCACTTTAGATAAACACGAAAATGCGTTGCTGCGAAAAATATTTCTGATAAAGATAACTTTCCTCGATGATACAAAATTAACTTTCCTTCTGTCACGATAGAGTTCTCTCAATTTTAATTTTCTTTACTGAATTGTATCAAAATACTTTTTTATTACTAATATATTGACTTTTATTGATTTAAAATATTTCTAACTTTGGCTGTGGAATAAAGTTTTATTTTTATCTGTATTTTTAGAACGCGGTATTTTCATAAAAAATGTCTGATTACATTTAATACATCATTTTTGTATCACAAATACTGTTTTATTACGATGACATTATTTTAAGATTAATCATAAATCATCGAGATTACATTTCCAAGATTTTACTTGTACTTTCGAACTGTGAAAAATGTAAAGGAAGAGATAACATTGCCAGTCGCGACGTTCAGCGTGACTCTAGGAAAAGTTGGTGATTAAAAACTTGTGGTAAAAAGGAGCGCCAGCTCGACATTACTTCTGACCCTGCATCCTCTCTGTAATCTCTGCGAAGTGGGTCAGTGCCGGTCAACGCGGCAGATTCAGCGAGATCGCGGATTTCGAAGGTCCGACCTTCGCTCGTTTCCGGATCGTTAAAAAAAAATGCACGGCGGCGATAGATACGCTACACAGGGGCATAAAACGGATATCGCTCTCCACGTGGACGCGCCGTTAAAATCGCAACGAAACGCGGTACATACACGAACCGTTGAGCCATTAAGCGGCGAGATACGCGTGCCGATAGGCGAGATTGAAATACACCGTGAGGAAAGATAAAATTCGATACGTTAGAACTGATCTCGTATCGTCGTCACGCATATGCCCACAGTTCCACCAATGTAGATTAATTTTTACCTTGTTTCAACCTATTCTTTAGCTTTTTCTTAACTTTACTATCTATCTTGTAATCTGTCTCTCTTGATTTGAACGAAACGAAATTTTCAATCTCAAATTTCACCCTCCCTTTTTTTACTCATTTCAATTTTTATTAAATAAAGGTTTTAACATTTGAGTTTAAAAACTATTCAGTAATAATAGAAATGTGTTCAAAAGTAATTTTATTTTTAAAGCTTAGAACTAAAGAACAGTAACTTTGCCTAGACTTAGATCGCAGTCGGAAAGAATAAAAATAAGGTTTGCAAATGAAAAGTTAAGAATCGGAAAAAGATTAAGAGTAAGTTGAACCGAGATTAAAGTTAATCTACATTGGTAGAAACGGGCATTAGTGGTATAATTCTTTGTATAATTAATTAAGTTGTTTACGTCAAGATGACAATTCTAAAAGAGGCAATCATTCCTTCAATTTTTCCGAATTATGACTTGAATTTTCATTTTTTTATTAACTTGTGGTTTAGACTTAATCTCAGTTAACTTGATGTAAAAATTGTACTTTTCTAGCTATAATTATTAACTGATGATTTTTTTAATGGTAACTTTAATCGGGCAAGATTTTTCATTTCCTAGAGTGAACTTACAGTTTAGATTTAACCTCATTTAACTTGACGATGACATAAAAATTGTGTTTATCTTAACTATTATGATTAATCACTAAACTTTCAAAGTTACTATGGATCAGTTTAGTGATTGTCAGCTAGAAAGATACAATTTTTATGTTATCATCAGGGTCTGACCACAGATTGACCCACAAATGAAAAACCGAGTAACGAAACCGTAGGGTTATTCAGAGCACGTGACAAGTGCATTTCCTTTACTTCTCCTTGCGGTGCATCAAAAACGCAGCAGGTCGCAAGGGCATGTCGCGGCACGAACACTGCGTGTCGGAGCCTTGTGACGCCAATTTGCGGTAATTGGACGTATTTACGAGCAGTTATCATATAGATCGTCCGGACGCCCCCGCCCGCGCGGTCGGCGTCGCTCAAAAAGCTGTAATCCAATTAATTCGTCGGTTAAAATTCAAACGTGGAGGGATCTAAAGATGCCGCTGTACTGTACACTAGAATTTGCCATCTATAACTACAACGTGATATTTGAATGATTTTTTTCTCGCGCCCTTTTTCCAAATTGCGCGAAATAATCACGAAATTACTCGATAAATATAATTAAAGTTGAAGATTAACACGCGGATTCGACCTCGCGTGACGCGCAAAGACGCTCGTTTCGCGAAGTTTTGAGTACCGAGAGTACTCGCGCGTGATCTCCGCGGTGCACGCGTGCGTCAAACGCGGCATGGGTGCCCTTTTAAGGTGATCCACGTTGCGTGCGAGAGTACGTTCGCTCGAGTGCGCCTCGAGCGCGAGCGGCGGTCTTCTTATTAGGAAAGTTTCCGCAGTGACGAAAGGACGTAACTTCGTGCACTCGTCTTTATTAGCGGAGTGGATTCGCAGCAAGAGACACGTGCAGATGTACTTAATAGTGCAGGAATGTTAGATAAAAAGTTTTAAATTTTCAGTGAAATTTTTAGAATTTTTTGTTTGTTTTTCAAATATAAAAAGAGATGTAAGGAGAAGTAAGACGTATACGTAGATATTAATAAATCATAGTTGTGGTTTATGCACTTGGAGAAGTGTTTTTTATATGTGGCTCTTACAAAAACTCTTTAATTAACAAATTTTGATTAGAACAACAAAATTTCTGAATTAAAAAGTAAGAAAGTTTTTGTAAATTAAGTGAGTTAAACATTTTGTTGTAATCAAAATTTGATTATTCTATGATGTGGGTGTTATCAAGTGTAGGCGTATTTGTTTGTTAATTTTCGCCTACGAAATATACTTTGCATCCTCGTTAATTAACGAATCATCTGGTCTCCTACACGCTCTTAATCCGTTTCATCTTCGCTTCATACAAAACAATATATAGTAAAAATTACATGATCTCCGCAATATGAATTTTAACTATCTCATCAGTAATAGAGAAAACGAAATAAATTTTTTACTGTTTCGGATTATTACTAAAATCTGAAAAAATGCTGATACACTTGTCTCTCTCAAAGTTTTAACGAGTTTTTACTATCATAAAAGTTGAATTATATTGTATTTTTTGTAGATTTATAAATGTATGTACCAAAACCCACAATTAAAATATTGATGATGTCTTTCAAGATCTCAATTGCCGTCGGTTAAACATTAACTTGCTGTTCTATCGCACCTTGTTTTCGTTTGTCTTCTTTTTCATGTTGAAGACGCAATTTTCCTTCATGTAGTCTGGTAAACAACTAAAAGAAGCAAAATAATTAATCTCACGTATAGTGATGTTATGAATGAAAATATAAAAAATCCACCAACACTTTGAAATTTTGTCTAATCAGACTATTATAAGATACTATTTAAAGATATTTATAAATCAGACGTTTAAAGATCGAAGTTGAACGATTAAATAATAAAACGTAAAAGAATTTCTCACTCTTGCCTGAAAACCTCCTTTATCTCTTCTTGCGATAAGAAATTCGAATTTTTATTATGTCGTTTATTATTATCGCGAGATCGGATGGCTAAAGGAATTCCAAAAAAGCGTCGTTGATCTAGTGAGGATGATGAAACCTCACAGGATTTCGAAACTGGTGAAAGAGAAGAAGGGGGGAAAAAGAGGAAAATAACGAAAGAGATAGGTGGGAGATGCAGTGGACGCCGGTCGTCGTCGGGCGACGGTTTAATTGACGGCACTTAATGGATTGTCGTTATGCCCGGCTTAATTACCTGTCGCTCGTTGCCGCTAGTTCGCGCATTTTAATCGATTTATCATACGCGAGACGAAGGCGACGACGTGCTCGAATATGAAAATGCAATGGACGGACATGCGATATCACATCTTTAAACGGAAGCGATTTTAGCAACCGAATTTTTTAAAAATTAACTTTCACCACACTTTTTTTACACAGGAAGAACGATTTTGCTAAAGTACTTAAAAATTTAGCTAAATATAAATCTGAAAATAATTTTCTTGGATCATCAAAATAATCATATAAACTCAACAGAATTGCCGCAAAACAGGAAATCAAGAATATCAGGAAAGCATCAAAGAAAAATTTTTGAAAATTTTTCTGGAAAATTGAAGTTCTTGGCTTTACAGAAGATTATGCGTATATCACATCTACCAATGTTAGAATAGATAC